CATGCGCATGTGCATGTGTGCATGTGCACGTCTGTCTGTGTGTGTTCGTGAAAATGGGAGAGATCTTTGATTTTGTGTCTAGGTTTCCCTTCAACACAATTCCGAAAAGAGTACCCTCAAGAAACACGAAGCGTCCTTAACTTAAGCTTTTGTTTCCTCAAGTTCTTGATTTGGAGTGGGGAGAATTGGGGCGGGGGACAGCCTTTGCAGCCTCACTGTAACAAGTGGTGGAAAGTCCCCGAGCTCTTTTTGGACGGTTCGGGGCCTGAACCACTCATCAGGTCAAGTGACTGAGAAGCACGCAGACATTTGGGTTGAGTAGCTGAAACTAAGATACCCCCTAAGCCTTAGATGAACTCGGAGTTCCGTTCAGTCTGTTCACAACACACTGGGAAGATTCTCAAAAACCAAAGTGATGTTAAAGGCTGCCAAGCATCAGGTTGGGTTAGGTCCGTCCCCTGAGACACCGTAGGGGGTTGGGGGGGGGGGGTGGGGCTCACTTGCAACCAAAAGACCGGTAACGAAAGGTGAGCACAAAAGAAGGCCATCACCCTTTTCGCTGGGAACCGCCTGGGGGAGGTTTTTCTGGGGCAATCCATCAAAGTCCCGCTCTTTACGGGAACTCTGCAGGAAATCCAATCGCTAGCACCTTTTTGTTGTCCTTCCTTTGGCGGAAAGCTGTTCAACCCCTCTTGAGATTGAAATACTTTTTTGGGGAACCCCCCTTTCCAGTTGGCAACTTATCAGGAATGGCCCTCAATGGCCCCTAGTAGTCATCATTAGGTTGCAATGGCCTCCCCTGGCACCCCAAAATTGGTGGATTGCTTTTTGGTTTTCCTTCAAACCAACCCTCAAAACGAAAAACACATATGAAGACCCTTTCTCCAGGACATGCGGAACGGCACCTTTCGGGGCATGTCTGCCATGGGCAGCTCGGCAACACCGCACGGATGGTTCACGACAGGACTGAAAGTACGACCTGCATGTGCAGCGCTGCTTCTTGCGCCATCCATTTGCTAAGCCTGCTTCCAATTATCATTGCAAGGGAACAAGGGGAACGCATGTGGCCGTGTTCTTGTGGGATTTCTGTGTTCAGGGGGGGGAGGGGGTGCACGAGATTTATTTGCTGGGTTCATATGCCTTCTTGGCTGCTGCTTTCTGTTTCCTCCGGTGTAGGTTGAATGACAATGAGCAAAAAGGAAGTCTGAGTTCGACAATCTGCTGTTTTGGCATGTCTTCTAGTCTTGGTTTTTGTTTTGTGGGGGGGGGCCGGCTCGGATCATCCAACCACAGAATCAGAGTGCTTGCTCCCGGTACATTTGAGCCAGCCGACCACATATCACAAGTTACAGAGGTATACGGTACGCCTCTTTCAAGTTCCGGGCTTGGGTTTGTCGCCCTTTGAGGGAATCCTTGAAAGGGCGGTTTAAAACTGCCCTTCAGTTGCCCCTCAAAGCAAGCCCAAAAAGGACACCCTGAAAAAGACACCTAAATGAGTTGTTTCCGTGGGCGTCCTCCCAAAAACACGGCCGCCTTCCGGCAGGCAAAAAGGTGCGGGAGTACGCCAAGCGGTACCGCCTGGACACACAGGCAAGCATCCGTCTCGCCGAGGTCATGGATCAGAGACAGGCGGAAATGGGGGGAGGGTGGAGTCCAAGCACTTATTGTGGAGTTGCTCTCTTTTGAGGGCACCCTTTTCGGGGTTGGGTTGTGAAAAACGGAATTCAACAGGAAACCACTCATTTGGACCCCGATTTTGACCACAAACTCAACTCGACTCATTTTGCTTGGGGTTGATGAATCCCTTAGGGGACTGAGGGAGCTGGACTGAACATAGGAGCCGGACTGAGGGAAGTCAGATCTCGGGCGCCAGGAAGCACTTGGGATGGCACCCTTTTTTGGGGTGAGTCCGCGGCTCATCCAAACCAAGCTGGCCCTCTGGCAACGCGGTCCCATATCGTTTACTTTTTGACCCTAGGTAGTGCCTGGAGATACTGGAAGATCATTTCCTCGGGTACTCGACTCTGAACCGGAGAGTCTATGCTGAGAACCCTAAGTTCAGTTTGCTTGTTTGACTCCTCTTCGTTTCTTGGGTTGGCCTCATGCTCTGGGGCCACTTCATTT